TTGAAAACGGAAGAAATGATGGCTCTTTTCCCTTTTCTCTGCAGTTTCCCTGAACCCATCGAGTGTTGGAGCAAGTCGCATAAGGGCATACAGAGAGCTTCGGTTCACTGTTTCAGAACAGATGGCGTAATGTCATCACAAGCTGGGGACTTTCCAGACGTAAGTCTCTGTAGCTTCCCCAGCACTATTGCAGGGTTCATTTGAGGAGCAGCCACTAGGTTTTCCTCCAATGAAATAGTAGTGCCACCATACCCCAAGCCAAGGTTCAGGTATGGGGCATTGGAATCTCCAGCTATAGGGATTTGGTCGTGGTCGATGTCCCGCATCCTTGGGATGGTGCTTAACAGTGGCCGGCTGAGCTCCGCCACAGAGGTGAGCGGTCGGCAGATGTCAGCCAGTAAATTCTTGGTGTGGCCCATGGTGAAATGGCACCATATGGAGTCTGGGAGTTCAATAAGTGGTGGTTCCATTGTACATAGTCATTAAAGTTGTTTGTCAAAGTATGTGTCAACTCCCCAATCTTTGTTATCCCTGTCTCTCCTGACCAGAACCATATCACTTATACTGATTTCGCTGTCGCTGATTGTGGTGGTTAGTCAAGTTTCAGTTATGACCGTCATTTTAAGGTGTAGGTGTGACTGGACGTTTCCGAGTTAACTTACGTTTACTCTCAGCCCTCTCACATTGCTATACAGGCAGCTGACAATGAGTCTCACCATCCCAGTGTGTTATGTGGTAGTTGACGCTACGTTGTCTGCTGGTAGAGGAAATAATAATGTAACTAGTTGGACACTTGTGATGGAACTAGTGTGATGTCGTTTTTCCTTTGGATTCAGGTAGGGAACTTGGGTGACAGTGTCATTCCCAGTGCCGCATAGCTGTAGTTTCACTGAGGCTTGAGGCAGTGGTAGTTTGCCTGATCACATTCTGGAGACTTTCAACAGCAGGGGTTCGTAGGACGTAGGATTGAAAACTTTTAAAACAACTCATGAACTAATATGCTTTCTTTCCAACATTCCAGACAGACGCATTGGTATCATATGACAGTCTCATTCTAAAATTATGTTGAGATTCGCGCAGGTTGTTACCGCTCTTCTAGTTTTAAAAAAATGCTCGGAGTTCAGTTTAATTCTGGTTACAGATATTGCTTTTTCTGATGATCATCTTCACCCACTCGCTGTGTTTGCCCATCATTAGTGAATAACTGGTTTAAGAACTGCTACCGTTCTTCTGTGGCTCTGATTGTAGATTCTCAATAGACAAGCGGTCGCTCGAGAGAAGACAGTCTAGCCTGGAAAGTTTTCCTTCTTCCATTCAGTGTGTACAGCCTTCAGTCGTCTCACACGGACCAGCAACAGTAATGAAATCCAGCAGCTGTCAATAATAAGCCACCCTTGATAATGTGCTTTTCACCAGTACTAAGTGATTTGAAGTCACCAGTCATAATGACCTCTACGAATTCCATGGTCATAACCATTTGAACTGCTCGGGTCGTCTGTTGCTTGTGCTTTACCTCATGTGCAAAGCGTCGGTTTTCTGTGCCAACCAGGAAACTGGTGCTATTTACAGTTTCACGACAACCAAATGACTAACGGAGTTTGGTCTGTTTTAAGCCGTTTGCGTATCTGCAACTCTTCTACTTTCCTTTCCTTACTGGTCATACAGTGCTATCCTGTCTAAGGTTGTGTCACAGTTTTCAATCCTAAATAATAAGCAGATCTCCTTCAGAATAGTGGGCATCTGTGAGTGATGTGGGCATCCAGGCCTGAGCTAAGTTAGCTCACTTCTGTGGCCCGCGAAGTTACTCAAAAGGCACTTAATAGTCTATCAAAATAGTGCCACATTGAGAGAAAAGAGTAGATGCTGTATCCTTCATGTAGTCACAGATTCAAACGCCTCAAAAAGAAGTGCACTACTAGAAGAGCCGGAATAGCCCAATATCTGAATGTTGGAAAGTTATAAATGCTACCGGGTGAGACGAATAAGCGACCAGTCCAGTGATAGCAAACAAGAGGTGCAGGGAACAAATACAACAGATGAGAGAAAGTTCGTGCTAAGACGAATGAGGCTCGTAATCACTAAAGTATACACTTTGCCAATCCCAGAGTCGATGAACTTGGAAGCGAATTACTTAGGTTCCTAGAGAAACTCAGAGATAGCTTCCACTTGCCTTTATCTAAAAATAATGCTCATGATGGCCATGTTGCCATCTATCCAGCTACACCTCAGCTTTGGCCACACTACCCGCTGACTTTTAGCCTGGCCCTCCTGAGCTGGTGGCAAGACTGTTCTTACCACTGCCGCAACTAGAAAAAGGAGAATAAAACACTTGAGGCTGCTCAAAGATGTATTTATTAACGACTATGTGAAGACAGAATGGAGATGCACAATCGCATCACAGCGTAGACGCTGCCTTCCTGTCCTTGAAAATCTAGTTGTTCACTGTGTGTCTCAATCAGGACACCATCGAAAGCGGAGTGGCCGAGACTGGTCTTTATATACCTACTTCCCGATCAGGCACAGCTTGCCTGCTCAAACCTGCTCACTACTCCTTTTGAAACAATTAAATGTGATCCACTATTCTTTTTCTATGTTGGTTTTCATTTATATGGAACGCGACCTTTTGTCTTGCCTTCTATCCCCGATTCTGATGGTGCGCGTTTTGCAATGAGTATCCGTAAGCTTGTTCGGGGTTTAGCCTTTCTGTCTCATATTAGTTGTTTTGTGTATTTGTGTGAGGATGTCTGATAATGTAATCACTCTAGGAATGCTTGATATTCATTTTGTAGTTTTCGTGAAGCCAGCAAGGTGAAGCTTCTCAGGGAAATTTTAGTATCACTGGAGTCGTCCTGCCGATTCCATTTGATAGGCCTTCTTGGACAACAGTGTATCCAATATTTCTGGCAGTTGCATTCGAAGGTGAAGTCACTTCGCGACCACCGAACTGCTGCAGTTGTAGAGTTCACCAAATAATGCTTGCGAAGGTTTGGTCTTATCTTATCGTCTGCCTCTCACATGTGACCTTATTGCGTTACTGGGTAGGGTGTTAGCAGAACATAACAGGGTCCTATGACTTGGTTGGCATTGTCCGCATGAAAACCAAGCACATTAAACCTTATCAATAGTCTGAGATACATGGATTTACAACGAATAAGTTTAATGTAGAATTAACGGCCAAACTTATCCTTACATTCTGGAGTGATTACAGTCTTCAAGAGTATAGCTGGAAAGAAGACCTATGCATTTTATTCGGACACTATATAGAGCCTTTCCATACCATATGACAGTAAAACTGAAAGACTCTTATGTATTTGATCTACTCATTTGTTGGTCAGAAAAATTCCCACGGATTTGAAGGAAAGTTTGAGTCTCGGTTTAGATTATTACGTTAAATTCCGTCAGTTGGTATCTTCGTTTCGAGTAATCAGCGTACCTGGCTTTAATAAACATATGGTTTCGGAAAGGAGTGCTTAAATCCTGTGTAACTTACTGGACAAGTGGATAGTATGCTACTGTAAAAAAGTGACATAATGACTGGAAATATTTAATGACCAGAGTCAGTTGAATAAAGGAATGATGCTCAGAGCCTTTTCATGGTGACCCCCAGACTTATCAAGAGGAATTGGAAGGGGTACTGTCCAGTTTCTTTTCTATTCTGTTATGTTTCTCATGGAAGAGACTACCTTATTGGGTTGCTACAGCTTAATCAGCTAAGTTCCTCTAAAGGAAGAAAGGTGACTGCCCAGAATCTCGTATAGCCATCTGGAGGACAATATAATCAAAGGAACTGTGGTGATACTATAAGCAACTCCTTTCGACCTCTTCTTACATCTCTTTAGACTTCCTCTTTATTTCTCATGTCTCCCCCACTACCATTTTTCTTTTCCTCCATCTTCAATACGTATCTTAGCTCACTAACAAGCGTCATTTCCCGCTCCTATCCTTTCTAACATGTGACTGTCCGTTTATTACTTGTGTCTGTTTTTGACTTATCTGGGGGATCGTGTAGTGATATGACGTGTCATTACCAGCAGATACTACCCTAAGACGCACGCAAAGATCATCCCCCCACTGCACTCAGCAGAACTAGAGGACGCTAACAAGTGCCTGAGGACCTAGAAGAGTTTCTCAGAATTAGGAAGCTTGTCATAAATATATGATACATTTGATTAACACATAATGAAAAACAAACACTGACTAACACAGATATGTCAATCATTGGATACTGTTATATCTACTGGAGGGCTTTCGTAAACAGATGCAATTCCTCACCAGAGGGTGTCGCTTCCTTATATTCTACGGTAAGTCAGAAAATTGCAGAGGAGTGTGAATGAATGAAATATCCCCATGACCGTTACACGCTGCACACTATAAATGTGCATCATCTAAAATCATTCTTTACCCCTACTAAGTCTACAATGACTCACTGTTCTGATTCCTATAGCTATTAACTCTCACTTGCCGTACTAACCCAGTTTCCTATACTGGAAATCCTGTTTCATCGCACCACCCCCTTCGGTGTCAACCATAGCTAAAATAGTCAAGTTGCGGGACATTCAGATTGCTTAAGAGCAAAGACCTTGATCTCATAACTAAGAAGTGAGAACAAAGAAATCAATGTGCTGCACACAATGTCTTAAAAGAGATGTTGGATAATGAACTTAAATTCATTATCCGTTTATGTTGGCGTCCCTTTTTGAGTTTGCACACTCGTCATAAATTAAATTATTGTTTTCGACCGGCTTTTCAACTACAATGAGTGACTAACAGGTGGAATAATCAACTCAAGTTACAACAGCAATGGTCTTAGCATACCACAAATCGAAAATCATACATAACTGTTGACAGGACAAACTACATAGAAGCTTATAAAAGTCCAAGAAAATATACTCTAAAACTAGGAACAGGGTCAGGAGAATTGAATATGGTTTCTAGTAGCTGAAAAATGGACATTGGATATGATTTGTTTAAATCGTTCACTCTATTGACTACATTAACAGAACTTTTTCAAATCTTGGAAAATGGTTAGTAAAAAGACGACAATGTCTTATTATTTTTTTAGCCTCCAAAAAAGAAACCAGGGAAGAAAAAAGGAAAGAAGTCATCAACTTCCTCAAAATCAAAGACACCCACCGTAGTTGATGGAGTTTCAACTGCAGAAATGACTAAGGAAGAACTCGAAGAGCATATAATCAGACTAAGAGAAGAACTAGAAAGGGAGAGGGAGGAAAGAAACTTCTTTCAATTGGAAAGAGATAAAGTGAATACATTTTGGGAAATATCCAAGCAACAACTGGAGGACAGGTCTGCTGAACTACGAAATAAGGAACGTGAAATGGAAGAATCCGAAGAACGACACCAGCTAGAACTAAAAGTAAGACGTTAAGCCACTCCTTAGCCAAACTTAAGGTTTACAAACAAAAAGTTAAGCACCTCCTTTACGAACATCAGAACAACATTTCTGAATTGAAAGCAGATTCTGCAACTGCGATTCGAATTAATCAAGAAAAGAATTCACATATTCAAGGAGTACTTCGGAAAGATCAACAGAATTTAAAGGTGCAGCTGCGAGAAACACAATTTTCCAGCGAAGACAGTGTGAGAACTCTGAAAAAAGAGCATGAACATGAAGTAAATAAAATGGAATAATTACCAAAATTATTTATATCTTAGATGCATGAAATTAGAAAAGAGTTTGAGCGAAAAATGGAGGAGCAAAAGAGGATTTATACGAAAAATACTAAGGAACTCAGGGAGAAGCTTGACCTGCAAAGAAAAAATGAGCTTCATGAAACTGAAGAAAGGAAAAATAACCACATAAACGCTCTTATGCGTAGTCATGAGAAGTCCTATGCTGAAATGAAGAACTATTATAATGATATAACTTTGAACAACTTAGCCCTTATAAATACTCTTAAGGTACGTTCAAGTGTCCGTTAAAAGCTTTGCAAATATGTGCAATGACAACTTTCAAAGCATTTAAATTACTAAAGTAAAATATGGTAATTGAAATTCTTTTGTGTTTATATGACATGGGATACATTTTTAGAAATAACATTTTATTTTGGTAATGGAATTTTGGATGCTTCAGATCTTTTGTATGCACTCCCCTTGAATGAAATTCTTATGAGGAAATATTCAATTCTATTACAAAGTTTTCTTAGAGAGTGGAATTAAGATTTTTTAGATGAAAATTGCAAATATCAATGACTTATTGTTTGAACCAGCAAGGGGCGATTGTTTTGTGACACCTTTACCGTTTTTTCAAAATTATTCTGTGTGGTTTCCACCTGAAGGTCTGTAAATCGCAAGATAGAACTAAGTTTCCCAAATTTTGTCCTCAGTGTAGTTTAAACAACTTAGTTATAGAACTATGCCTAGTGAAGTATGAACAGGATTGCTTAGCAAACTGAGTGTCAGGACATCTCTTCATTTTAAGATATATTCTCACTCTCTGAGTTAGTAGATATTCATTCTACACACCTTGTACGCTTGTTTCTACAAGTGAAATGTTTCTGTGTTTGATAAAGTTGAAGAATGATATTTGCTGTGCTTTATTAGGGTTTTTAGACTTAAGACACTGATTTATATTGTGTTAATCTGTGAGAAGTTTGGCTGTCCTCTATTAAGAGATCCAGTTTTTGCCACATCTCCTGATATTTGTTTATCTAATGTCACATCAGTCCTGTTTGTTGGCTATGATTACAACAAATTGTAGATGCGTAACATTAAGGTCCAATATGCCTGAAAGTCTTTCTAGTGTTTAAAGTCAGTCTGACTTTCTTTCAAGTTAAAAGTCTAAAGCACCTTTTAGTGGCTATATCACACTTCTCAGTGGATATTACACCCCATTTTTTTCGGAGAACCATTTTTCATGGATGTTTGTGCTGTTGATTCCAATGAATTATCTGTCTTCACTCTTCGGCAGATTCTGATACATAGTCATATTTATCTGCTTCTAGGTCACTTGTAATATTTTTCAACTTATCGTGGCATTTGGCTTCTCTGACCAAGTGCTTCCGTGGAAACATGTGACTGTGAAAGGAGTGCTGATAAATTGTGTTGTATTATTTCAAAGCAATATGCTCACACTGATGCAATTATCTAATGGCTAGTGTAGAGTTGTAACATGAAGTAACGAGAAGTAGCCATGTCCGTCACAGATGTCCACTGTCAATTTCCTTATATAATTTTATCGTAGATACAATGACAGATTTAACTCTGGCTGGTATCAATTTTTCAGAGATTGGCATGTTTGAAAAAAAGAGTCTAATCAGTCGACACTACACGGATAATATTGACTTGTTAGCTTAAAATAATGAAAAATAAAGTCTTCTGAACACCCTGAGCAGGAATATGACAGCGTTTTGCATACAGTTCACCTCTGTCAAATGTAAGACGATGTCGCAGGACTGGCATGACGCAATCTCAGTAGGGAAAGAAAGGCCTGTGTTGAATCTCTGGCTTAAATGCCTTTCATACATGGTAGTCGGAAGTATAAAATATCAAAATGTCAGCGGTTTTCGACCAAGAGTATCTGTATTGATTTTCTCATGTTAAGCAGTGTAACATGTCCAGAAAAATGAGGTTACGTGTAGAATTTTAGTTAGGAAGGTAAAATTATTCAACTGAGATTGTGAAGCTTCATTGAGTCAGACAACTAAAGGGTGTGTCTCACATGACGAACCTTCTCAACAGACAGTTGTTACTTCAAACAGGACTATTTTAGAAAAGAGTTAGAGGCTCGACTAGTCAAGCAGAAAACAACCCTCTTTCAGATCTGCTTGCCAGAGCCTTAAGGCAACTTTCTTGCCACACTTATTGGATAACTTTATACTATAAGCACTTTTCTGTTAATATATATTAGTAGAAGAACATTCACTCATTGTTTTATCCCTAGAAGATGGTTTCGTAGTTCTGTGCTATAATGCTCTGACGAAGCTTAGGTTGATGTCACCAAATGAAAGCTGCTGAACTTGAAGACAGTATGTATATTTAGCCTTACACCATTTTCTCACGTAATATCTACACAAAAAAGTAAAATAGGCGTTCTTACTATCTCTTACAGTGCGAAGTCATTATTTAAGTGAGACTTATTAAGTGTTTTAGGCACAATTTTTGTGTGGCTTTTGTCACTCATCCCATAAACAACCTTGTCAGACTGAGGGTGGTTAGAGTTCTGTTTTCCTCTTCAAAACCTCGAAGTGTGGCCACGCATTCATGGCGTCTGCTAGGTAGGCCGTAGTCCCTGCCTTCACAGGGCAGGAAAAGTGGAAGGGAGAAAGCGAATTGGACTAGTAGACATGCAGGTTTACCTAGTAAGACAACTGGAAAATTTTGATTTCAAACCTGTGGTGTACATGGTCTTCAGAATCCGAAAAGATCGAATGGTGCATGAACCTATTTTGATCACCGACAGCAATGGAACATAGCTTCTGACGCTGCTCCACTGCCCTGTATCGGAATCAGACTTCAAGTGGAAGCCTGGAGAGGGAGCGCCCCCACCCCAGATAGTAGGTTTCCAAGCCCTAGCAGAAACCATGAGATTATGTGTGGTGCATTTTGTGGCGCCTACATTGTACGACGTTTACCATCATATAAAAAAGGGTATCACAGATATATTTAGTATATTTTTATTCTTTGTCATATGGGATGATTACCTTAGGTCTTTTAATATTTATAGCAACTCCTTATCAGTAAGAGTAGGCTTTGGAGGCATAGCCACATCCATATGGCGGTTTAACTCTGAGATTTATTACTTGACAGGAGTTGGAGTGGACTGTCTGTGCACACCTTCACTAGCTGGTTAAGTTCGCTTATGGGTTAGGGTGTATTTTAAAAGTGCTTGCGAACACTATTCATCATTTTTGCTTATTCTGTTGCATGTTTAATCATGACAGCATTTCAAAAAAATGTACTGAATTCGCTTTATAAACTACAGGAACAGCTGGAAGAAAGAAAGAAGAATGAAGAACGCCTAGAACGTCGTGCGAATGAGATAGCAGCAGAAAATCGTCGGCTGGTTGAACCTTTGAATAAAGCTCGAGAAGAAAATGTTGAAATGAAAAGGCAAATGACCAATTATGAGAAAGATAAAGTTGTACTGAAGGTAAGTCATGCATAACTGATTGGCTGATTAGTTGATGATTGATAAACTTAATGTAGGACTTTGAATTATGGGTAGATGTTGGCTAGGTGAGAACAGTTTGACTTTTCTGCGTTTGCTAAACTGACAAAAGGACTCTAGAAGATTTAGATTTATGTGTCACGTCACACAAAGCTTAAGATTAATGGTAACAAAAAACTATTCCATTTGGTTCCAAGTGGAACAAATGACTTTAACAGCACATTTCTGTTTTCTTCTGTTCACTGAAGTACTCCTCAGATGACTCCACGATTGCCTATAAGCTTCCATCTCCTCCCTACATGATCCGCTCCAGGTCACCCGCGGAACAACGGCAAAATCATCGTTACCACTTTGGGTTCCACTCGAGGGCTTGAGGAGCGATATTACCCGACATTCCTATCAGCGTTTATCCAGTCCATCCCCATTCGACCTTCACTACGCAGCAGGTGAAGGCAACTGTTGATAAAAGTCTGTGTTTGTAGTTATTGGTTGATTATCTTCATTACCTTCATTTCCTCCATGTTCACCTGAAGTCTTGGCATTTCTGCTTTTTCCGCCAACTCATTGTTTCGACCCCCTTATAAGTCTCCGAGTTTATGTAAAATTAGTCATATACATATATAGAGTCTTCCCATCGGTCCAATGAATTCCTGTCTTCTCGTTTGCCGTAGTCTGCTCAGTGGTAACGTCTCTGACTGTAGCACTCGGTGATACAAGTTCGAATCTCAGAAGGGAACTAAGTCCCATAAAAGCTGCAGATACACTTGGCTGACTAGTGGGGAGCAACAAGTAGAAAATCTAGGTTCAAGGCTTCTTGCCAAATGTCTACAACTACCTCAAATTCGCCAAGTTGGAGGGTTAAGGGTGGGTCTAGCGATCCTTATACAAAAAGCAATCCAGTTGCTATGATAACTTCAAAGTGCGACAACTATGTCCAAATACGGACTTGTTCTTCTCTGGATCTAGAGAGAAGGAAAGATGTGGGCTGATGGAAGCATTCTGGAAGCCAGTCAACCACTGTGTCTTCATACGATGAAAGGAAAAATAAGCACGAGGATGTGGAATGTTCACAAAGTGTACAAAGGTGGGAAGGCTGCCCAGGTTGCCAAACCTGAAGATTGAAAAAATGAAATCTGACAAATTGATGGAAAAGGAAGCAAAGACAGGATTTCAGGGGTGAAGATCTTGAGGCTAGAGGCGATGAATACACCAAACCAAACCAAGCACCAGTGATTATCAGTGGGAATGATCTGCAGGAAGTCATCTCCTTTATTTACCTGAGCAGCATTATTTCGACTACAGGCATGCGACATGGATGAGGATATCAGAGCCAGTGGGAATCAGGAAGGTAGGACAAACATGTATTACTGTAATATTGGATATGAAAATCAGCTTCACTCAACACGAGGAACATGATTCGATTTTTTAATACTGATTTCATATCAGTGCTTCTATATGGCTCAGAGATTTGGCAGGTCACTGGAAGTATTTTCAAAAGGCTACTGGCGACTTTCATCAACAGATGCATTCGTAGGCTTGATACTTGGGAATTTTAACTTTGAATAATAAAAGCACGATAATCACCGAAGAGACTCTTTTCAAAAAATTTATTAGCAAGTTGTGCAATCATATATGCATGCATAAAACAAATAACACCATCTATGAAATAGCTTGTGGGATGTACAGATCCTGGAAAAGGCTATGGGATTAATAGGACTGGCAGACTAATAGGACACTACACAACACGGTGAGAAATTTGATAAGATGGATTAAAACACTGAAATATAAATACATTTAATTTAAAGTAATAAATGAGAAATGGTACTAGAAATTGTTCAAAGTGAGAACAATCGTAATAATTTATGAATAGCCAAGGTTTCCGTTGTCTTTAGAATTTTGAAACAAAGAAAATGTGGCAAATCAGAATACATTCAAGAGATGATCTAGAAATCATCGTTAGGATTGGTTGGGTGCCAGAAATGGACAAAGTCTTCTAGAACAGAGTTTCTCACAATCTTCCTTCCACCCTTGCACAACTACACTGGAATGTGATTGCATATCTGTGTGGAAATCATTCTGTTCCACATGAACACCTGAAATGATCGGTGTATAGAGAGAGGTTGTCAAACAAGGTAGATCTTCTTTTACAAAAAAAGAGGATAACTTCCGGCAGTTTTGCCGTGAAGAAAGCTTCACTGATGGATTTTAAGCATATCTAAAGCCTAACCACGTTTGAATTCTAGATTCATTGAGATGGTTTTCTACAGAACTGAGTTAGTGATCGATTTAGAATGTTTATGCCTCATGTTCCTACAAATACATCAGTTTGGATAGACGTTTTCAGCTAGCTCGGTTGTGTAGAAGGAAGGCTGTACATCAATGAAATCTGGACTACAAATCCTTCACCTTTTATTGTAAATAGGAATAGGCAGGATTTCTTTCACTTTTTCACTGTCCATTCCATGCTCAATTTTCGCTAGAGGGATTTTCTCAGAGATCCGTGTGTTATGTTTTATGAAGAAAAACACATGAAGAAAAGGAATGTCCAGAAAGTTTCTGTAAAACAGCCCTAGTCACATCTAATGAAAATATAACTGCTGATGAATGCCAACTAGTACGAAACCTAGGTTCAAGGCTTCCTGCCGGTTGCCTCCAACCAACTAATGCCAACAATTCACAGTGGACCATGGTGGTGAGCCACCTAGTGGCATGGTGGCCACACAGCAAACTTGACTGATAAAATACAGTCTGCAACAAAGATAGGACTAGACACATTACACTGGTTACTGACTTGTGTCCAATCAAAAAAATATCCAATACAGTCCTGCAGGAGGTCAGTAATCTCAAGCTTGAATATCTCAGTGGTAACCTCTCTGACTGCAGCACTGGGTGACGTGGGTACTAATCTCAGAAGGGACCATAGTTCCTTCGAGTTTGCAGATACGCCTTGCTGACTGGTGAGTGCCAACCAGCACGAAACCTAGGTCAAGCAAGGCTTCCTGCAGATCGCCTCCAACCATCTAATACCAAATATAACTTTGTTTGAAAAATTTAAACCTTTTATTTATTTTTCAGTATGTTATGCCCTTTTTACTTTCTCATTTTTAAGCAAACTAAAGTTTTGTTGAAAACTTGTGAAAAAGAAAAGAAACATATACAATGGAAATATGATATTTTAGAGCAGAGATTTAAGCAAGTAAGTGATGTTTTACTATAATATTGTTACTATTTTTATACCACAAATGAGATAATCCTAATTTTAATTATCAGAATTCCTTGTGTAGTCTCTACTTTTGACAATCATTAAAAAATATACTGTAGGTTTCGTTACGAATTAATATCATTTAGGGAACGATTAGAAAATCAGGGTATGCTGGACAACTTTTTCGTCCTGATATGGGACTCTTTAGCAGTACACATCCACTGGGTTTCAAACCCAGAACCTTCTGGCTGTAAGGCAAGCTCGTAAAACATTCGGTCACTGGGATCCTATCCAATGGCTCATGAGTTCCAAATCCAGCCAATTCGTGATATATACAGCTCATTGTCATAGGCGATTAAATATCCTCTTACTTGGCTTGATGGACGTCCCCCGCTGGTCACGACTTCTCACTAGAATTCCAGGTAACTTCATGTATAAAGCCAGCAGCTGGTAAGGGTCAGATTAATTTTCAAGTGCAGGTTTGCAGGAATTTAACTGATAAATTTGACAAGAATATGTGTCGGATGATGGTTGTAGGCATTTACTTCTGATGAGCTGGGTTTAAATTAGTAGAATACTCGTCTGGTAGTTGTATCATACTGATTTCATTTGAGAAATCTGTAAAGTGGTAGCATCTTCAACAGTTTCAGTTGTTTTCGAGTGAAAATTAATCGATCGCTCATTGGTGATAGATTACAGGATGGAACTCCTGAAGTTCAAGTTACGAATCCTGATCGATAA